ACATGGACCTAATACTAACTTGTATTGTGGCACCTATACTGCCCCCATTCCACTGTCTCAGGCTGAGAGACAGGCTCCAGTGCCCCCCAGTGGGCCAGTGTCAGAGCAGGCTGGAAGACAGTTGGGCATTCTCTGTGCCTCCATTTACCACTTTGTATGATAATTCTGTTCATTTGTCATCCCCTTACACTTGACATGAGCCCCTCAAGGCAGAGACAATGTCTTGTGAACCTCTGCATCCTCAGGGCCTGCAACATAATGTTGTTCAGTTAATAAACATCCTTCGTGAACTGAATAACTGAGAATTACAGCCATGTGCTTATGATTCCAGAGTAATATTTAGGGAAAGCAATGCTTTCATATTAATTTCTTTATTTTTTGTTTTCTGTTTTCCATCTCATCTGGCAACAAGTTTAGAGTAAAAATAGTCATCAAAGAAAGAAGTCACTGATTTTTAACATGTGTTGACGTGAGAAATGCCCAAACCTGTAGAGAATTTTTATGAGTTTATTAGTTTATTTGAGCCAAACTGATGACAGTGGCTGGGAAACAAAATCTTAATAGATTGAGAAAATGCTCCAGAGAATTTTAGGTTTGCAGCTTATTTTATACATTAGAAATAAAGGAAGAGACATTGGGGGCGGCGGGGGCCGGGGGGGGAGGTTACATGAAATCTATTGATGGTGGATTAAGGGAGCGGGGGAGAAAGCAAAGCAGGGAAATCTCTGGGGTTAGATAAAAAGGCGAAATGGAGAAACACAGAGTTCTTTTACATTGGTGGGTACAAGAGAGTTACTAATTAACATTTGCAGCACACAGAGATGGTGTGCACAGAACAAGATAACAATGAGGGGCTCTGAGTTCTCTTGCTCTAATGCAGCAGTTGTGCCCTGAGGGGCTGGAAAAGATTATTCTGACATTTCAAAGATGGGTCCTCTTAGAAACAACAAGATAATACACAGGCTCACTTAAAGAGTGACCTTTTTAAGTCAAGGAAGCCACAGGGCTAGGATTTAGTTAAGAATTTTTATGTTCAGGTCATCCTGTGTGGTTACTTTCGGTTTCCGAGTTTCCAAGGCCCTCCATGCAGGCCTCCCCTGAGCTTGTCAGGTTTGGTATGTAGCCCCTTTTTTGTCCACACTTGTCACTTAAGCAAAAGGGACCAGCAGGCCCTATTTTATGGTAATTACCTAATTCAAAAAATTCTAGGCCTTCTATATAAGTTATAAAATGTCAAACTCCTTCTCTTAGTTCAAGCATTTTATCACCAACATAATCACATATTGAAATAGCCACTATTTTGTCTTTGGGTTCTAACCTTTTTTTTCTCCCTTTTACTCACTTTTCTTTACTAGGATTACTGTGACCAACGTCATCAAACCCAGGGATTCCCTAAAGGATTCTCTCGGATAAGGTGGTTACTACAGAGTTTTAAAAAATGCAGATTTCTTGGCCCCTCCCCTGGAGATTTTAAATCAGAAAGTCTGTGGTGGTGTCTATATTTTAAAGTTCCCCAGGGGACTGTGATGTGCAGGCACGTTTGGGAATCAATAATCTGACTACAAAACATGAGTCAGCTGTCTCCTTCCCCTGACTGTATTTGAAGAGATGAATCATCATTTCATTTTTTTAAAAAAAGAACCAAGTTGAAACCAAAGAGTCAATGTGAGAACCTCTGATTTCCTTTACCTGAGACTGAGTTCAGATGTCCCATCCACTTGGACCAAACAATGCATCTGCTTCCCCAAATCTTAAGACCAAAGGATATTGGTCCAGGTTTCAGGAGATAGACTTCCTCCTCCATTTAGTCCTGGGAACATATTGACCTGATCAGCCCCCGTTAGGAAGGAAGTCCCTGGGTGAACCAGCTGTGACATTGTGATCTGTAGTAAAAAATATATTATTTGGTCTTTTTATCCATTTCTAGAATGTAGCTCCTAAAGCCCTTGGAATTCCCTCTGAGAGCTATAAAGGTGTCTTTTCTTATTTTAATGAAGTAGCAGTTGGACACATCAAAGATTGAGGGCTGGTTGCCAGGAAAGCCAACCAAGAGATTAGAGGGTTGGAACTGTCAGTTCCACCTCCCTGACCTTCTGGGAGGAGGTAGGGGGAAGTTGAATCAGATCAATCACCAACAGCCAATGATTTAATCAGTCATGCCTGTTAAAGAAGCCTCCACAAAAACATAAAAGGAAAGGTTTCAGAGAGCTTCCAGTTTGGGGAACCAGAACACTTTGTGCCACTGTGCTGAGCCCAGACTCCTTTGTTTGGGAAGCTCCTTTGTTAGGGATCTCGCCCTATGTATCTCTTGATTTGGCTGATGATTCTTATCCTTCAGTATCCTTTGTAATAAATCAACAATCTAGTGAGATAAATAAACAGTTTTCCTGAGTTCTGTCAGCTGCTCTAGCAAATTAATTGAGCCCAAGCAAGTGGTCATGAGAACCTTCTATCTGTAGCTGACCAATCAGAAGCACAGATCACAATCTGGATTTGCGATTAGCATCTAAACTGGAGAGATTAGCATCTAAAATTCAGTCTTGTGACACTGAGTCCTCAACCTACAGAATCTGATTGTATTTCCAGGAAGATAATGTCAGAAATGAGTTGACTTTGAATTGTAAGACATGCAGCTGGTGTCCTAGAATTGTTTGGCTGGTGTGGGAAAAAACCCACCCCACACACAGACACTGAAATTGGGTGCAGAATTTTAGGCTGACTCTGGGGATCCTTTAGTCCCAAGTTGCTAGGACCACACCAGGTTCATTTTACAGCCAGCCCAGATGTCTGGGTCCAATAGTCTTGTCTCCCAGAGATGAGCCAGGATCAAGAAAAATAAGAGACTTTGGGAAGTACATAGATTATTTAGTTCCTTGAGTCTACCTTGTCCTTCACCACCCCCATCCCACCCCCCCATCCACCTTAAAAACGAAGTCAGGCCTGGGTCAGCATGCAGCAATAAATAAATCTCAGACACTTATGCTTTTTTTGTGTTTTAGAACTGTCTGCAGGAACAGAGACCCACTTGAGCAAAAAGCATAATTCCACACAAGTATCTAGCTAAACCTGAGGCTAAGACCACAACCCAGACTGAAGAAGCGCCTGGAGCAAGGACCAGGATTCTAGTCAGGGCTGTCTCTCTCGTTTGCTTCTTTCTTCAGGCACTCTCTTAACTTCTCTGGGCTACATGGTTGAAGATGCTCTCTGCCTCCCCACATACACATCAGCTCCCACAGTTACATTCTGCACTCTCTCACGTGAGGTAACTAACTTGATATGTCTTAGACCCACTTCAAATGCTCAGCCATCCTTATGTCACCAATTTGATTGTTTTATTTTTCTAATAACTATTGTCAACAATAATCTGTCAAAGCTCCTGGCCAGCTAGGTAGAGAGTGACCTTCATCATTATCTCAGTCCATAATGTAGAGGTTATAATGTACAGGTCACTTGTTATGACCCAGTCTAATCCCATGTGTCCTAATAGCTTTGTGAGATATAATTCACATACCATACAATTCACTCGTTTAAAGTGTACCACTCAATGGTTTTCGGTATATGTGCAGAGTTGTGTAACAATCACTACAATCAATTTAAAAACATTTTCGTCATACCGAAATGAAACCCCATACCCTTTATCAGGCACCCTTCTATCTCACCCCATACCCCCAGACAAATAGCATGTGTCTATTACAGACATTTAATATAAATGGAATGATATAATATGTGGTCTTTGTGACTGGCTTCTTTTACTTAGCATAATGTTTTTAAGGTTTGTCTATAATGTAGCATGTACCAGTACATCATTCCTTTTCAAGGCCGAATTATTTTCCACTGTGATGAATATATCAAAGTTTATTCATAAGTGGCTGGACAGTTGAGTTCTTTCTCTACTTTTTGGCTATTATGAACAACGCTGCTGTAACCATTCATGTACAGGTTTTTGTGTAGACATATATTTTTATTTCTATACTTTGGATTAGAATGCTGGGTCATACAGTAACTTTATGCTCGAGTTCAGTCTCACATGAAGGTCCAATCATATGTCCCTTTCAAATCTCCTTGCCCTCTCTCAGAACAGGCTAAACTTTTGGCTCTGCCATCTTGGAGTGGGGGAGGAGATTATTACCCCCCCCCCCCCCCTCCACACACACACACACACACACACACACACACACACACCCGCCGCCAGGCTCCAGCTGGTTCAGTCTAAAGTCAGTGTCCTGTTAAGGACCTAGGACTCTTGTGCCTCTGATTTCCCTCCCTTCTGGGGCGTCTGAAGTCACAGTAACTGTTGAGGTCTTCAGTGGTCACTGAAGGCTCAAGGGCCTGGGATGAGGGGTGCCCCCATTTCCTTCATCCCTGAAAAGAGCCCCCACCCAGGCAGGGGATGCTCCAGTGAACCTTCCCCCTCCAGAGACATCAGGCAAGAAGCAGGTGGTAATCTCTATGTGAAGGCACTCTCAAACTTCAAGGACATGTGTCCAGCATCCTCTTCTCCCCACGAATGAGATGAGAAGAGGACAGCATATGTTCCCTCTAGGCCCCCAGAACCTCCTTCTCACCCCTAATCCCCCTCTTTTATCATTTGTTGTTAAGGTGGACCAATTCCACCTCTCCCACTCTCCACCTCCTCCACTCTCATTTCCTGACCCAGTCCTGCACCTGAGAGACCCACTTGAGGAATTAGGCCTTACTGAAACTTGAGCTTTGCGTCTTCGGTAACTTTTTTCTCAATAAGAAACCATCTCACCAGTTATTTCTTTCCTATTTAGTGACATGGTGGGGAGGTGGGGCAGGAAAAGTACTTAATCTGTAGCTTACAACCTCCCTTTCATCTGAGTTTCTTTCAGAAAATGAGCCTGGATCTCCTTCTTTCTAAAAACAAGCCCTGGCCCACAGTTCAACAGCTGCGTTCTAAGAGGCAAATGTGAAAGCAAAACCAGGAAAGTCTCAGCAGGCTGGGCTTCCGTCACAACTCTGGTTTTAATTACTGTCACGTTACAACGGAGCCTGAGCTTTTCTTCTCTTGCTTAATGTACTTACTCCAATGTCTTTTCGTTATTCATCCTTGTATATCCCTCTGCCAGCTAAAAGGAATCCTGGCTTGGAGCTACTGGTTGTTGCAGTGATCTAGGCAGCAGAGTATTTTTGATTTTTGTTTCAGTTTACTTTTGTTTTGTTTTCTTGTTTGTTTTTGTTGGTTTCTATAAAGGAATCTGATTTAAAGAGCAACTTTTTGTTGTTTTATTTCCTTTTGTGTCTTTGCCTGAGGACCAGCGCCACGTCCTGATGTAAGTACTGAGTGGGTTGAGATTTTTCTGGTACTCTGAGTTGGTATTTTAGAACATGAGGAGGCTGTCACAGTGGGGTAAGTAGGAGCACATTTTCTTTCCACATCATTGGAGGCAGGAGAAATTTTGCCTCAAAAATTGTGCTCAGGGGGACAAATAAGCTAACTTCTTCCTGTCCCCCAAATAGTAAGATTTCTCTTGCCTGTACCTATGCTTATTATTCTTGTTGGGCAGTTTTATGAGGTAAGATATTTTTTCTGCACAAAATAAATGTGTACTGAAAAAAAAAAAGGACGATTTTTGAGATTGTCTTTCAGCTTAGAATTTTTGGTGGGTTAATGAAACTTAAAAATTTTTTTTTCCTACATATGACATCTATTTGTGATCATCCTTTTGGCAGACAGTCAACATTCCAGTCTAGCCAGTGTTTATAAGCTATGCTCTAAAGTAAGCTGTTTTTAAAAAGAATCAAAAGTATAATTACATTAACTTATACCATAGGCAATCATTATTTAACAAAAGTGTGACTTGGGGCCTACTAAAAGGCTTATTTTTTAAATATAAAGTGATAAGAGAAAGGTTAGCAAAATGAAGGAAAATTGCAACTATTGCTATTTATTGCTTCCCACTTGGGTGCACATGGTAGAAAAGAGATAACAGTGGATTCATGTGAGAAAGGGTTGAAATGGGGAGGTGAGACTTGAGCGAAATTGCCTACTAATAAGGTCTTCTAACCCTGGAATTCTATGGTTTGGTGGAAGGGAATGATAGACATAAATTGACAAAATGCACAGTAAGAATATTCGGTGTGAGCAGTAAACACACAATGGTATCAGGAGTCATATGCCAGTAGACCCAGGTGTTCTCCAAGCTCCCTCCCAAGCCTAAGATCCTATGAATAGATGAATCATATTGCTCTTGCCACTCTGAACTGGTTTATTCACCTTCATTGCCTACTCTTGCTTTTTCCTGGTCTGCTACCTCAAGGGGTCTTTTCCCTGGGTTTCTCCAGTCTGTGAGCCTTTCTATCAAACTCGAGCTCCTCATAGGCAAGGGCCACACCTTTTAGGTTCTCTGAATCCCTAGTGCCTGGCACAGTACCTCACAACACACACAGGTGCTCTTGGGGTGCTTATTAAATTGTTGAATTAATTGATTTGATGAAACTGCAGGTGAATCACAGGAGGTAGAGTTTGTGTAATATACAGGGGATTGATTTGAGAAGATGGTGCAGGTATCTTCAGAGATGCTCTTACAGGTCATGCTTTAGGGTTGACTTGCTTTACAATGCATTGGACAGTGATACATAGATTGTTGTGTATTAACTTTTTCCATATGGCAATGTCCAAATATAACATTTGCCTCGACTGCTGCATACTTGGGTTACCCTATAATGAGACGGCTGCAGCTTGGCCTCCTATTCTGTCACATCCTGCTCTGCTGCAGCAGGGCTCCTTTAGGTTATTTGTGTTTCCCTAGTTTTCAAATCAACTCACAGATCTAGATAAAGGAATAGATAAAGGAATGTGAAAGATTATCCAATCCAATCACCTCAATGCCTTCTAATCCTCTCTAACACCCCTAGGGACCATTCCCAGTTCTTATTCTCCAGACCTCTCTATTATCAACTACCTCTGTTCTTTGGGATTTTCCTCCCTTGGGTCAGAGACACTGTTATGGGGGACCAATTCTTCTCTGCCCTCTTCTTTCCAAATTTTACTCTCCAAATTTTGGAGCATTCCTCAAAGTTCAGACCTTTCGTTTCTCATCTCTTTAAATTCTCCCCATTCAAAGAGTTAATTTATTCCTCATTGTCAACCACCATCTCCATATTGGGAATAACTTCTTTATCCTTATCTCTAGCCCTGAATTTTGCTCCAAACTCTACACCTACATTTTCCTTGAAGGCCTTGCATTACTTCACAACTCAAACCCAACTCATTGTCTTTCCTCTAAACATCAGCTCTTGCTGCTGTATTTCCTGCCCCGCCCCCCACGATAGCAATATTGTTTTGATAGTCTGGTCTCAAAATTGCAAGTCAACTTGTTGTTTCTCTTTCTTTCCTGAATGGCTGATCCCTTATCAATTGTTTTGTCAATGGTTCTGTCAATTGTTTTATTCAATTTTTCCTTCCTTTCCCTTTCTTCCCTTTTTCTGTCTCTATATCAAGGGCTTTATCAAATAGCAGGTTGAATACAATAAGCCCCTATTTGGGTGGTTGGTTTTCAATTCCATTCTCCCTTTATTCATACTAAAAAACAAACAAAACAAAAACAAAAAACAGAGTTAATGTTTTTCAAACACTCCTGTATTATTGTCACTTGGTTTTTTAGTCCTCTATTGGCAGCTCTACCTGGCATTAACCCTTCAACATTCTCTTCTCAATTATATTTCCAGCCAAATTATGCTGTTCATTTTCTCCTTTAATATGCCCTGTGTGTTCGCACCTCTGAGACTTTGCTTCTGGGCCATCTGCAGTGCCCACAAAAGTAGCTCCAACTCTGTGAATACTACCAGTGCTTCTAAGACTCAGTTCAAATTCCACCCATCCGGTCAGTCTCTCATCTTCCAGTCAACTTTCATGGTTTCTGCACTTTTAAAAATTTTTTTAGGTGAGGCAACCCTTAGTTGACCTCACAGATTAAAAGGACCTTGTCAGTTTACAATCCCTTATTTTTTATTTTTATTTTTTACACCTACACCACCTAGTGTTCCTAAGTGGTCTCCCATCCAAGTATTAACCAGGCCCGACCCTGCTTAGCTTCCGAGATCAGATGGGATGGGGCTTGTTCAGGGTGGCATGGCCATAGACCAGGGTTTTTGCAAAACTTTTTACATCACTTATTAGTATTTTTTTTGTGTACAAGTTTTAACTGTCTGGCTGTGTCATAATGTTTTTAAGGGCAGGGACTCTTTCTTAAATGAATCCTTCTATTGATTCTCCAGTCTAATTCAAAGACTTGCAAAAAGTGAGAGTAAAATATTTATTGGCTAAAGAGTTGAGAGGCAATGTGAATTTAAGTTAAATTTGAACTAAAGTTAAATTGACTCGAATAACATTTTAAGGCTACAGGTAGTTTATCCATGCTGCAGATGGTTTAGAGATGCAATAATTATACTGAAAGGTTACTGATGCACCTCTGAAAGCAGAGCCACTATGGCTAATATGACTCAAATGTCCAGTAGGGACTCCTAGGTAATAAAAATGTATGAATCCAGCTGGATGTAATACAATAGGGAGTGGTAGGACCTGAGGCAAACTGCATTACTTGCCCAAAGTCATTCAAATGGAAATTTTTAAAACATTGCTAATTACCATTCCTCTCTTAGACACTTTGCTTCAAAAACAGTGATTAATTCAAATATTTCAACTCAGTTTGGTATTTATTGAGGTTGTAGATACCCAGGGCTGTGCTAGACACTTAAGGAGAGGGAGGAGTCAAATGAGATAAGACTGACAATGTTCAGCAAAGAATAAAGTGTTATACAAACACGATCTTTTGTGCTGGTTAATGTTCCAAAAAGGAATTATTTGCTAGATTTCTTGAGATATTTCCATAAAATGTCTATGCCTTGGTTATTCTACGATCAGAGAATTCTTGTAAGCATTGGTTCTGACTGTCATATTTATCTTTGCATACCAGAGCTTGGCACATAGTAAATATAGAGTAAATATTTTGGAAAAAAAAAAAAAGAAAGAAGTAATGAAAACCTCTCGATGTTATTGCAGCACCATACATTTCATTTCATCTATCAGTTCACAAATAGATTTTGGCAGATAGGTGAATTGTCAGAAAATGAAATTTCTAGTACCTACAATGATTTTTGATCCTCTTGCAAATTTTGCTTTGGAAAGTTTTCCTTGTTTCTGCTTACAAACGTCTCAGAATTATAAAAGTTTTCTTGATTTTTCCGGAAAGATACAACTTCCCAATATAATTGAATAAATTGTTATTAGTACTTCTTATGTAGAAGTAAACAGAATAAGGTCTAAACATCTACTAAGGAGAAGATGGACATAAACCATTAAATATAAATTGACAAGAAGTACAACAGTTCAAGAAGCATTTGTTTAGGAGGCTCAGAGGAAAGATTTATGAAGGAAGTGGCCCTGAGTGAGACTTAAAGATTGGGTAGCCTTTTACCAAGTGAGATCTTCATGGGTAGTGAAAAGAGTGGTCATGTTAAGAAATCATGGAATTTTAGAGCAAAGATCACCAGTCACCATTGTAAGTGATGATAAGAATGAATGTGAAGAATGCTTTCCATTTACAAAGTATTTTTTCACATACCTTCTCCAAGGACCCACAAGCATTCTATTCACTGCCTGCGGTTTGGCCAAGAGCTTCAGATATTAGAGAACTTGATGATTTCCAGTTTCCACCCCTCCCAAAGCACCACATCGGAAGTGCCACTTGTGACTCTTAGGAACAGTATTTGGTCATTCAACAAGTATTAATGAGGACCCATCATGTATCAGGAGCTGTTTAGGGCGCTGAGAAATAGCAAGAAACAAAAACAGATAGAAATCGCTGCTCTTGTGGAGCTTAATCTCTTGGTCAGTGTAGAGAAACAAAGGAAAAAGAAAAAAAGATGTTCATAGAAGTAGAACTCTTCCCCTTGATGATATGTATAGACTCTTGAGGATTTCTCCATATCTTTTCCTCCCTAGCTGAGAACATGGCCGGCAGAACGTGACGTTTCTGGCCACTTGCTCTGACAAAACCTAGGCAACAAAGGTTATGCAAATCCCTGCATTGTTTTGTGTTACTAACAAGAAAGTGCTTAAATTATCAAAATTTGGCTTCATATTTACATACACATATATAAATACACATATTTATAAGTTGGAATTTATATTTCACTTATTATCTCCATGATATCATTTTCACTCACCTTCTAAAACGCCTTTTAGAGGGGAAGAGTAAAAGAATAAGGCAAATCTTATATATGTTAATTTACTTTAAGTCCTGTTTAAGGGATCAACTGTTACCAGCAT